ATAAGACATCACCTGAAAGTGCACCTGTCTAAGTAAAGAGTAAGTGAAAACCTTTTTATTAAATGACACAATGTTGTCAAAATATTAGTGGGAATTACTGGGTCAGATCCTTTGGTCCACAAAAACGAGAATAAATGCCCTAAAAGCATATTTGTTTTATATATATATATATATATATATATATATATATATATATATATATATATATATATATATAAATTAGTATATATCTGGTCAAAATAGGATTTCCTATGCTAACCTATTTGCTTTTTTATACTTGCGTAATACTTTATGTTGGCCAATACAGCAATCAAATCCTTTATTTAGCCAAAAGCAAGCTTGAACCCATTGCTGTAATGAAATACATTTGCTTTAATAGATTATCCGGTACATTTTTTATGCTGGAGACAATACAAGAAATGTATTGCTTTAAATCTTTATCAAAAGAAGCAAATGACACACGGTAGCTTGGCAGCACTATCACGTCAAAGCAATCCTTTTATAGCTGTGTCCCACTTCAGGGGCCCTCTGAAGGACGCAGCTCACAAAGGTGGTTCCTTTGGAGGACTTAAAGGTCAGGCTCAATGTGTGCTACTGCCAAAATAACACCGCCTAACCTCACAGAACCTCAATTTATCCCCAGACAGTTGTCCTCAAACAGTCAACAAAAGCGTAAATGCCAAACATTAACTTGAACAGGTTTCATGATACAATCACTGTGAAAAGAATACAAAGATAGTAATAAGAATAGTATCATGGAAGTATTATATCATATTATATCAAACACACACCAACTTTATCTGTTAAATGTGAGCATGCAACAGCATTATTAAATGTTCAAGCAAGCAAAATGTCCCCCATCCATTTGAATGGTATTGTAAGATAGTGTTGCAAATGTTAAACCAGGATGTGGGCTCTTTAAATGTGTGGAAAAAGTGGAAATGTACACAGCCAGTATGGTTAATAATTAAAACATTCACCTTTGGCAGCAGCCTACCTTGTTGTCATTAGTGACCTCCACAACGTCCACTCCAGTGTTAATATCTAGATCAGACATCAACAGTTTGCGGGCCTGCGCAGACTCCAGGGTACACAGTGGACACTGGCAGTTGTCTCTCAGCCAGGTGAACGGGTACAGACTGTGGCCTCCGTCCTCCCACTCCACCTCCATTATCCTCTCCTCATCCAGAGCCCGGACTTGTCTCACTGAGTGGCGAGCCAGAGGAAGGGCGGCAGACCCAAGAGTCTGCTGCCCACGAAGCTGCATCAAAGTCAGACAATAGGGAAGTGGACCTGCAGGCCTCCTCGGTCTACCACCAGCCCTCAGAGCCTGGCAGGCCATGGCAGAGGTTCCTCTCTGCAGGGCAGGTCGGGCCACACGTGCTAATGTACTCATCCACATTTCTGAATGGTTCCCTTGGGGCAACTCTGTCCACAGCTCAGAAAGGGCGACCACCTCTCTGAAGGTAATGAGAAACGGAAGTAATAAAATACTGTGTATCATGGAACAAACATTAGGAGTCTCATACTAAAGCTAAATGTACTTATGTTTTCTCTGAATGTCTTATAATAAAAGGAAAATCTTAGCCAAAAAAAAGAATACACATTTAGAAAGCATTTAAGATTCATTTTAAATAATGTTGTGAAAGACCCCATTTAAAAAGCTAAATGATGGTCGTACGTGTGTTTTTCATCAATGCCAATATCCTCAGATACAGTTCAAAATGTAAACTTGTTTTAAGTTGACCACGTTTTTCTAGACTCTGTCTGCTTACTCAGTGTGTTGATAAAAAACAGTATGTAACAGTGTCATAGTGCTTCATAGTGCAACACAAAAGCCTTATTTAAAGACAAATAATACAAAGTGTGTGTGCTGTTATCATGGCTGTTATCCATAATCCTGCACCTGTTGCTAACCCTATGTTATTTTTCCAGAAACTCCCAGAAAGTATAGCTCTCTTGTTATTCTCCTGTTAGTGTGACAGTGTTTGTATCGTTTTTTAAGGAAGAAGCTTTTATTTAGCCTTTTAAATCCAATAAATCTATCTTGCTCTTTGTGTGAGTGGGGATGCTTCCTCTGACCTATCTCTTTAAAACTGCTTAATTCTGGTGCAGTTCTTGAAGCTGTCACATCACTACCAGCGGGTGCTTTGAGTTTGATGATTAGCACAAACAACAAAGATAAAAAACATAAAGACTGTGAGAACCAAAGCCTCCCGACTAGTAGTTAACTTCAATTTTCCAACAACTGAAGTGTAGCCTCTCGGTTTAGTGTCAATTAAGGCGTGTAGTCAATTCCTAACAGGCATACGAAAAAGCTAACCTGGTTGTTAGCTAGCTGGTAAAGTGAAAGCACCCCCTGGGTCTTCCTGTATACAGTACATCTACAGTATTAACGCAGCTTCTCTCACATCAGGGTACTTTACCTGTTAGCTTTAACGTTTATGTATTAAAGTGCTACGAAAAAACAGTAAACGCGAGTGTGTGTCACTAACAAAGATTATGTAGGCCTACCTGTAATGTTTTGACGACGGGTTCCTCTTCCACACGAGATTCTCCTCTGTCAACACAAAGCCGGCCGGCGGTCAGTGAGAGAGAGAGAGAGAGAGAGAGAGAGAGAGAGGGAGAGAGAGAGAGGGAAAGTGGGTGAAAGGTCGACCGGGAGGCTGCACTACACTGTGACATAATCATCGCCGCTCCACAACACTCCCCACTGATAATGGAGTCCCGGGCAAGCACTGTTGTGTTTAAATACACAAAAGGGGAACACATAATCTCTGTTTGCAGATAGGAAATATATCAGGACAACCTGTTGTTGCTAGTGTCGATTGGGTCAAAGTAGGTTACATTAACTTAAGTACACCCTAGTTACTTTGTTCATATAAAACACATGTATGATAATGTAGTAACCTACTGCAGGCCTATTACTTATCAACTTAGTATGTTACTAGGTTTGTCTTAACATATCAGTATTTTTTGGCAATAAAAATGTATCCCAAAACACAGTGAAAAGAGACTTTCTGCATGCTGAGTACTTTTACATTTAAAGCTAAATGTTTTTTCTAATAGGTTACTTCTACGTTTTTCTAATTTCATGAAAAATGACTGCGCATACTTTATTAGTTTAACAGACTTTTTCTTGTAATGGAGTATGCTATTTTAAAAACATAAATGTTCTACCTTTACTTAATCAAAAGCTATGAGTTATTCTTTCATCCCTGGTTTCTGCTTGTGAATACTGTGCTTTGACAGACACAACACTTATTATCATTGTTTCTCAGGTATTTACGTATTACTATGCAAGTATTATCACGGTATAGCTTATTTGACATAACACTGCAAAATGTCATGCCTGGATATTTAAATCTGAACCATCACACTGGTGGACACTCATATTATCACCAAAGTCAGTAGAGTTAATTGTCGAGCATAAAATTCAATAAAACATGTATGGCAGCTTCTTCCATAGCATTTTTAAGTCTGAACAAAAGTGATGGACCGACCCATGGTTAAATTATACTTTAAACCTCCTTAGAGCCTATGGCTAAAGTGGCTAATAAGTTGGGCTCATCTAAATGGTATTTGGCATTTTTCATTATTTTCTGCCAATGATTACTTAATCAAGAAACTAATTGACAGATTAATCAATAATAGAGAACATTTAGGTAATGATTTTGTTCCTTCTTTGTGTTCAGTCATACCTCTTTTAATTAAGTACTTTTTACGTCCTTGGCAGGTTCCAGGAAGACGACCAGTACCCAATAGATGTGAACAACCTTCTTCTATCCAAGTCACAAGCTCACCCAATTTATAACATGGCAGGCCTGAGTTTCAAAGGGTAGGAGATGTTGACAACTCAGTCACCTTTGCAACTGACATCAGTTAATTAATAACATCAACAGTGACACTATTGTATTATGTAACAGACTTTGAATTGATCCATTGAGTGGAATGCACCGGAGTATACACCTGTACAGAGCAGCATTATAAAAGGAATTCTAACCTATAAATATTTTTAAAGATCCCTTAAAAATATAAAAAATGTAATCCTTTTTCCAGGGAGAATGTTTTTGTTGATGTCAGCATGCAATAACTGAATTTATTCTTAAAATATTGAACAGTGAGATTGATACTAAAAAGTTCAATGCAATCTAAAGTACAATGTTGAACAACTTTTTTGATAGTTTGGGATGCATGCTAAAGCAGAGGTCTTATTATAGCTTGATTGTTTATTATCAATGTTTTATAACACTTCCTCTAGAAGGTGATGCCAGTCATTTGTTTATCCAATGTATTTCCCCTCTCAAGGACATAACAATGTAGGTGAAAGGTTTCTGTAAAAACTGTATTTTACGTGTCCTTTATGTTGCCTCATCATGACTGTTATCAGTAGGCTCAAAGTATCTATTGGCAGTGACTAACTACAAGTGAAACTGTCATACTGTACTTTGCTTTGTTACATCATTTGCACCAGTTGGCACTTTTCCCATATGTTATAAAGTTCAGGATACTCATAGTATTTTAGTTCAAACTTAACTCAACCTTTTTAATTAACTCAACAGTCTGAAGTATCACAATAATATGTTGTTCTCAGCAGAATGGTGACAAGTACAGGAAATAAAATAGGTTGTTTGTAAGGTCAGCCGCACCACAAATGCCGTCAAAACAACTTCCTTGCATCTCTGTTCCTCATAAATACCAACATCCAGCTTTGTCCTCTCTTCAAAGCACATAGGAGGGCTGTGTGTATAATTTACAGAAGACCACAAAACCTTGTAAAGCAAACACGGAGGGGAGCTTTGTAATTATGGAGCACGTGGCAATGCAGTCCCAATGATTAAGGAGCTACTGCCACATTGAAGGGGTGTACAATACGGACATCGATAGGGAAACTTAGCTACATAAGAAATGTTTTAACCTAACTTTGACGTCATTAGAGAAGAGACCAATAATGCTCGAAAGGGTGATACTCCCATAAAAACATGCTCTTGCAACAACACTTTCAACACCAACTCTTTATTTATGAAGACACAACACAATCCATTCAAAATAATGTCACAATGATTGTTGTTAACATTGAATTCCACAAGTGCTGCCTGCAGTCTTATCCGTCATGTATTAGCTCTCACTACCTTAAAATATATAGATATATGCAGCTCAATTTGAAACTTTGTATAAAAAAGGAATACACAATAAGGTGTTTTGTAACAAAAAGATAGCACTCACAGTATTTACTTACTGTACTTAATATCACACTGTACATTTTCCAGGATTATACAGCCTTCGCAGAACAGCACAGTAAATGCATTTTAAACCATGACACAACCTTAAGCACCGGAACAGTTAAAGAATTGTGCAAAGTTTGCAAGCCCAAAAAGCAAAACGTAGTTTTCCATATGTAAACATAATTCAATATTCATAATCTGGAGTGTCAAAGAAGAGCAACAACAATGACTGCTCAAGTTAGGAGCATTCAAACAGATTACTACATCATGCCCTCCACCCCCCTCGCTTTACAGCTATGTCCATGAGTTATCCAAAACCAATATATCTTTAGTGAATGTTTTGTAAATGTGGATACTTACAAATGAGTTGAACAACATGTCCAACATTTGACTTAATCCTCAAAGGAATCTCCCCAAAATCCACATTCACACACGTTTTCTTTGGTCACAGAGGACTGAATAAGTCTTGGAATACTCTACCTACAGTACTAGTGTTTGGAAAGTTGATGGTTCCCATTTTCACTTTTTTTGATTGGCTGATTAGTGTTTGAAGCTGTTGTTTTACCCTTACACCCAAGCTTACAAACAAATGCACAAACCTGTGACAGTTTAAAGATAAATGCATCTACTTAAACATACTACCAAGAAAAGAGGCGGACAGATAATGTTTGACTAACCCTAAGGCCATATATAATTATTGAACATCATTACTGTTTAACTACTTGTTTGTGTTATAATGGTATGTAATGACCATTGCAATAGTCTATGGGAGTCAGCACTATGACGATTTACACGGACAGATGATATTTATTATATCAAAAATATAATTTGTATACCTTGGTAGCTCTTTATTACTTTGTGGTGGAATGAAAATCACTGACCTATTGCATCACAATGATGAACTTCGATTGGTAAGGAACTACGTTTGTATAGTAAGCCAAAACCAGTCAATATTCTGTTCATTAAATCTATGTATATTTTTGAAATTGTTTTTTCTAGAACATCTATCGCAATATTGTTATATAAAATGCATTGTACTGTTATAAAATAACTTATCAATATAGCCAACTCCTTATTCCTTTTATATAAAGGTAAGATTGTTCACATGAGATGCAGCCCTGTAGAGATGTTATGTTCAAACAACGCATTTTCTCACTTAAGACTAGCAGTTGGAGATGTTTTTGGTTTGAAATGCCTTTTTATATACATATATATATATATGTATACGTAAACTCATCCCAGATTGTTGCAATGAATGGATTGGAAAACTGTTTCTCCCACAATGTGACATATTTATTTTTTGAAGCACAACTTCATTTAGGAATATGCACCACATGAGCACAATATAAACTCAAAAAGAATAACGTATCGGCTACTAAACAGATTTAGACACATGGTAACCTAACAAAACAGGTCCATGAGTTTGGGTCATATTGTATTTGACCATGGTTGATATATTGTTCTTTAGTATCATACATTTGGAACATAATCATAATACAACAAATTTGTAAATGAGGCCTTTCCGGGTTAGGGATTTTAGCGCTGTTGGCTTCATTGGGCAATCCAGTTTAGACAAATATCACCTGGACTATCATCTGCATGGTTATATAACCTACCTTCAGAGCTGTGGATCCCAACTTGTTTTTGTTTCAGAACCTTTAAAGAGAAGCAGTGTGTCTGCAACATCTCATCACAGGTAAGAGTTATGAACAGTGAACAACTCGCCTCCTAATTGATCGTCAAACGTGATCAGATAGTTTGATTTGGATATTTTTCAGCAAAAAAGGATGAATATTTTAAATATAACATAATTTGTTTTTCTTATTTCCTAATTATCATATTGTGACCTTTGACATGTAGACCCATCTTTGAACACATTAAAGGAAAGCCAACCAGGGAACCACTGCTCTAGAATTAGATGAGAAAATAAGTATTATTTTCGTAAATTACGTGAACTGGCCCTTTAAGCTTTGTTTTATCCCTGATATGATTGCTAATTTTTTCACCCAGTCTCATGGTCTCAAACTGCATCATATAATTACTGTAATGAGACCTGTGGGAACTACTTTCCCTCAGAACTTCATGTATTCGTTCTTCAGTCTGCTCAACCTCGTGCCGTGGCTGCGGATGATCAGAGACAGGAGCTCGTGCTTGTCCTTTAGTCCCTGAGAAATGTCCAGCGTGCCCTTCAGGACGTCCCGTGTGTGCACTACCATGTTCAGAAAGTCGTCGTTGAGCCTGTGCTCCTCCTTTACCCCACTCTCTTGGCTCTGCTTGAATTTCACCTCGAGCTCCAGCAGAGATTTCTCCGAGTTTGTGAAAGCCTCGGTTATCTGAGTCGTCTCCCTCCGCAAGTACTTCCCGTAGCTGTCCTCTCCGTCCAGGTCGTACGAGATGCTTTTCCCGATCCCCTCCAGCACCCGGGCCGAGTCCTCAATCTGCCTCTTGATGATGGTGAAATCATCCCGTATGACAGAGTCCTGGTCCTCATCGAGACTGCACTTTCGCTCGTCGGTCATCTTGAAAAGCATTTGACATTTCTCCGGGTCGTCGTTGTCCTCGTAGTCTCCGTCCGGCACGAAATAGTGATGAAAAGTCCCGTTAGACATCTCCGGCTGCAGCGGTCCGGTGAAAAAGGCTCTACACATCGAAAACATCCCGACACACAGGAGCAAGTGAAGGAAAGCCATGATGCCCACTCGTCCTAAACACACTTAGGCCTACAAATAGGAAATAGTACACGTTATTTCAGCGACAGTGTCAGCCTAATGGACTATTTAACTCCAACCCGGTGTAGAAACGCAAACATTTCAATCAGGTTTAAACGTCCAAACTGCGCAGTTAAGTTGAGGCTTTGTTGTAGTTTTCACGTCCTCCTCAATATCCTCTTTGTCCAGACTCCAAACAGATGAAAGTGGCGTGAAAATGTGTTAAAAAGCCTCACTTCTCTGCTTTTACTCGAGCCAGCCAGCTTCCATCTTTGCTAATGAGCAGGAAAAGCAATGTATGAAAGTTGTTTCAGCGTGGAAACAGTTGTAGCCTGCTCCCGACTTCACTGTGTGCCTCAAACGCAACATCTGGATGTCTCAAGTGCCGCGCTTGGGTTTTGGCCATGGGGTTTTGGCTAATAATACCCCTCTGCTCCTCTCAAATTACAGGCTCTCCGTCACTTTAAAAGGCTGCATTGAGTCTGGAGCAGGCTGCCAGCAGCAGCCACGCTGCAAAAAGCCTCAGAAACCAGTGTTAATTCAAAATACCATGACAAGTTGGCATGGATGGTTAGAAAGGTTACTTAGAGAGAAGTCTTTTAGAAATAAACAAAAGACCATTTATATAACATTTCCACTCAATCCAACACAACTGTCCTGTAAGAATAATCCATTACTTTTACAAAACTTAAAACATTTTAAATGCCTGACCAAATGTGGCAGATATGTACATTTGTGTTGCTGTCGGCTGTTGTTTTGGATCAATTACATTGTCTGATCGAATTAAAGGCTTACTGTTTTTTAAGTGTTTTTTGTCATTCTGATCCTGACATAATATTGTACAATTAACAGATATTTGCAAAAACATAATAGCTGAAAAGGACAGAACATTTATTCTAAAGCATGAAAACTAAATTAATGAGCAAACAAACAAAGAAAAATACTATTATGCAGTTGCCCGTAAAACAATGTAAATCTATTTTGCTCCCCACATTTTTAGGTGGATTTATTTGTATAAACAACTCTCAACATGATGTTGTCAGTCTTTAATAATGCAGAAAATGAACATTGTCACATGACCATAGATGCCTTAGTAGTGGCACAGAGATAAAAAATGACAAAAGTCAGTTATTGTACGTTTTACTCCTATACATTTTTCTGCCGGTTGCTTTATGGAACACAAGATTGCATTTATTCATACTCTTGAATGTTTACATAGTATGGTATTGGCATTTTTAAAGGATTTTAATAAGATACAATACTTATAATAATACTTGTTTATAGTCTAGTACAAAAGCTTCTTCAGCTACCTACTGTTGGAAGTATCTGCTCTGATCTGCTTGATACATATTTGAGATTAACCTTAGGCTCTGCTTGGTTTTTTAACAATTGACTAACGTTTTATTATATTTATAAAAATATAACATAAGTGTAAGAGTAACGCCAGACATAATGTGGTAAAGCAAATGTCTGGCCTGTGTTGTTGGCAGAACAAGCTAAAGTCAGGAGACATAAACGTGTTCACTGAGCTTCCTTTAAACAAAGTGACCACCTGTTCCTGCTGGCATCAAATTACAAGTCCAGTTATGTTGAAAGGACATAGAAATACTTTGATGGTCACCTGTTTATGAAGGTGGGACATTTTGTTTTTCATTTCGTATACTTTGTCCAGATTCATTTCTATACTGCACGTATTATAAATGTACTTATTTGGAAATATAAGAAACACATGGAATATGTTTATTGAAGCAGTTTGCCATAAGTGTTAAAAGGTGGAAGACACATTTTAATACGTTGATCCAAGAAATACCATTCACTTGAAATGATAATGCATTTTCCAGTACACTTAAGCTGCTTGAGTCCAGAAAGAAATGCCCCAAGGGGAAAATAAATGACCTTTTATCTCAAGAACTTACATGTTGAGAGTGATGTAATCTGCTGAACCCACAATTCCACTCAATGTGTGCATAATCTTTCCAGTGGAAACAGCAGACATTACACCATCACCTATACCTCTGAGGCGTGCTGCTCTTATTTTTCCACTGAAGAGTGATCAGCACAGTTGAGACCTGCATACAGTAAAGCTTGGGCAGGGCAGAGTTTAAAGTAATAAACTCAATTAAAATATTGGTTGATATTGACTATGTGCAAACTTACTTGTCAAAAAAAGGTTCAGACATTGATAAACAGAAAGTCTTAGATAAACCAGGGTCTGTAAAGTGCATTAATCTGATATTGGATGTGGAGAAATCCCTAACTGCTCACTATGCCTGTATTTAAACAGTAATAACAGCAATTGAAAAGATGTTGCTAAGTCCTTGTTTGAGTGTCAATGTTGCTCCCATATTTTGGAAGTATAGCATGTGTGATTGCAATTGTATTAGAAATCTGCAGTGCCAACTCCTCAAAAGAGGTGGATATACTGTGAGAGACCAGCGTGGCAGCCCGGTGAAGCACAACGGTGCCTGTCCTGTGACATTATTCTGCAGAGGGAATTTCAATGTGGTGTCAGACAAAAAAAGAAAATGGAAAAAAAAGTAATGTCATGGTTCTATAGGGTGTGGCTCTCTGTTTTGATTTGAAGTCTTTTGTGGCATGTTTACAATAAATCATTTCCCCTAAGACTACATGTTGGCTGAAATTTAAATAGAATAAAACACATTTTACAACATAATTTGAGATTGAGTGCTTCCAACTTTGAACTCAATCGACCAAACTGGGATTAAATCCAAATTTGGCAAACATCAGCTACTCAAACTGAGTCTGACTCAAAGTGATTGAGAAATCTGGATCAAACATGGTTTCCTTTAATTGCAGAAAAGGGTTTAATTTACATATTTGAGACAGACTTCTGCACTAAACTCTGTTATAGTTTTAGTAACTTTTTTCATATATTTAACAGAGCATGTTCATCAATGTCTTCACCCATTGTTGTGTGTAAACGAGCTGAATGCAGAGCAGAGCAGGTGAAATAAAAAGTGGACTTTCCTTGGTCTATGTTCAGAACAGAAGTTGGCTGTCAGAAAGACCACGTCTAAATCAGAGCAGACAGGCAGATAACACAGGCAGAGATCAAAACATGCAGAAAGCAGGGAGGACAGCAGATGGCTGAAACATAATGACATGATGCTACATTGAACAGTCTGGCAAAGGGCTAGTGTTTGTGGGCAGGTATATACTGAGTGCCTGATTACAGGCACTGTGCAGCTAAGATGTTTATCTCTTAAGTCTCTGTCACACCTTTGTGGTACAAAGATATGGGAGTGTTATGTCTGAGCATAAGGCACACATATAATACTACAAGTACTACTACTACTACTACTACTACTACTAATAATAATAATAATAATAGGATATTGATATTGTCAATAATAATGATTAATTGTTTACCATTCATAAACAATTCATCATTATAACAAGATTTTCTTTTCACAAATGACAGTAATTATGTTTCATATAAGTTCGTATGACGTGTTGAATCAAAGCAATTGCAATTAAGAAAATTAAAATGTGAGTTAAAAAATACACATGCATTTGTTTAATGTTTTATTTATATGGAGACTTTACTTTATGGCTCAGAGTAGTTTGCATGTGAAAAGTCTGCTGAAAGTTTTCACTTAGTTTCACCCAATTAAACATAGTTAAAAAGATCCTATGAAAGTGTCTAGCAAATGGCTGCACTTCCTAGTTTTGCTCTTTTTGTTCTCTTTGTCACAGTTGGCTTCAAATTATACTCATACTTTGTAAAGCTCTCCCAAAACTCTCTGGCACTCTGCTTCAAGCCAACAAAGACAAAGATGACCCAGTGCATATCCAGTGAGTGCAGTACAGTGGCAGGGACATCATATCATTTGGACTTTGTAGAGTTTATTTGTGCTGCTGCACACTCTGACAGCTAAATGTAACACAAAGAGAAATTCAAAAATGCTTTCTTATCCCTTTTCATTATCAGTTGTTTTTGCTAGTCAGCAAATGTATTGTATTCACGGACAGATTGTGGGCCAGGCAGGATTTAGATAGTACAGCAGGGAGACAGCCAAAGCTGAAGATGCATGGCCTTGTCTGCTGAGCCTCAAACTTTGTATCTGTAAAGACACTCTCTATCATTTGGGTACAAAAGTGTCTCTCTGCTGCGGTGAGGCAGTCCTATTGCTAGAGTTCTCTCTTCGAATAAATGTTAGCCATTCATAGTTTCAATGTTTTCATGTGATTTGTATTCTGAATTTTTTTGTCAATTTTTTGGGCAGCAATTCTACCTTATTCACCATGTGAGTCCTGTTAGAGATTGCACACACAGCATACATGATTTTTTCATTTATTTCCTGTTTTTATTACCTGGAAATCTAATATTGTTTAATAAGGTATCTGCTTTTCTGATTACTTTCGCCAAATGTATTCTTTCCACATTCATTCTTTCCATCATTTCCTTTCCTAGTATCTATCTTCTCCTGCTCCAGCGACCCAGGCTCACAGTGTACGGTTCTTCCGTGTATGAGCCTCATGTGAACCTCTGTCCCGGTGTGCTAACAAAGTGGATCCACTTTTGACGTCCTCATTGAAGCCATTTCCACCTTGGGATGATCATTTCAAGATTAATATTAAAAAGTATTTGAATATGAATTACTGTCCCTGAGAAACGTGCAGGGTTAAAATAAGATGTTTCTTGGTGTGCCATTGTGTTTTGGTGTTTATTAGTTTGAACTTAGCATCATTAGTTAAAATGATTTGTAATTGGTAATTGGGTATATCTGACGACTGAGAGGATTCTCTTAACCGTTTAAGATGCAAGTTACTTTTGTTTTTTTATTATGCTTTGTTAAGTGTTATTGAATTCTAATGAGGAAGATTGTCGGACCAGCCGCTAAACCTGTTTTTTGTTTTTGTTTTTAGAATAAAGGACAAAGTTATTTTAGACATCAGCAACCACACAGTTGTATTGGAGCACTGGAGAAAGACAGTAATTCTCTTTATGCCTTGACATAAATGTATTTTAACATTATATCTTAAATCTGTTGCAGACCCTTCTGATCTTTTGAAGTCTGGATCACCTAAAATGTTAAACTGTTCTTCCAAAACATTCCTCAAGGTGTTTTATCATTCAGATGATGAAAAGAGTGTTTTATATTGCTATGCACTGACATTTTCTTGATGTCAGATATCAGGATTTTTATTTGAATTCTTAAAAAGTGCTTTTGTGTGTCCAAAAGTTTCCTAGTTCTTGCCTGTTTTAAATCATTGTCTTCTTCCCTGCGGCCACTGACAGGCCCCAGCTGTGGCTATTCAGGCTAACTCATATCCTTCGACTCACTTAGTGAAATAGAGGCAGTTCTGACTAATGGAGAGCAAAGTCAGGACTTAAACTGGCCCTGTGTCTGCGCACATGTGTGCCTGGATTGATCTTTGAGAAACAGGGAATACTTCCCCGCAGTGAACCTCATGTG